TGGTGACATACAAATAAAATTGAATTGAATTGAATGAGCAAGCCACTAGGTGGCGCTTTTATCGCAAAGTCGTTAAATACACGAACATTTAATTTCCAGACCGATGTTTTGAGCCCAACGGTGTTTAGGCCACGGAGAGTCAGTAAAGAATTCAGATTGTTTACAGAACCTGTTATTGTTTATCAAGTTATTGTTGTTATTATTGTTTACTGTTTGTTAGCTCAAGCAGCTATCGATTGAGATGGCTAAGTGTATCGTAATAGCATGAATAATAATAATTACTAAGTGTGTCTTATGTTCGACCCAACTCTGAAAAGAGCGCAAGTGTTCCCCTCCGGGCCGCCGGCTCGTCTCCCCTCTCTCTCTCTGCCCCCCCCCCTCTGGTTCTATATTTAACCTGCAGGCCGACTCTCTCGCTCACACACTCTCGACACAAGCGAGGCCGCTGACAGACGACAAGCAGGATGGAGGTAAAACTTTAAACTTTCTGTGTGAATGTTTTTAATATGATGTGATATAAATATATATATACAGGATAATAAATGTGCAGGTTAGGGTTCGTTGAGCGGCTGCATCAGATTTCATCTCTGTGCTGTGGAAAGCTTATTTTATTACAGTCGTATTCATACATTCATATTGTGTGTGTAACACTGTTCTCAGCGGTGTGAAACAGCAGATTGATTTTATCTGAGAAAAGCAATATGAATATTACATTTTATACTATAACAGCATCCAGAAACAGTTTCTGGATGTAGAAACTCAATTATTTGAACTCTCACATTTATAAGAAGATTTGGTTTCCGTCTTTTAAATTCCACGTGAGCTACATAGAATGCCTGACGTCGAACAGCACTTAAACGCAGCACATATTTGAGGATCAGACAAACGCCTCAAACATCCGCAGATAAAATGCAAACGATGGCGCACATGAAACACGATGCAGTCAGATATTGGTTCTGTTTGTGAGGGAGAGAAACTCCTGCAGCTCCTCACTCTGAACACGTTTGTGAAACTTATTTTCATAGAGTGACGTTATTTCCTATATATTTATCTTCAATAAGCTGCAGAGCAACGTGAGACTGAGCTGGAGGTTACTGCAGGGCACAGAGACCCAACAACGATGGAAACACACGGAGCTGAATATTACATTATATCTTCTTTATGCTCTTAAAGGTCCAAACAATAACAAAAGATAAACCAATTATATATTCAACTACTACAACTCCCATGAGGCCGAGTCAGAGAAGAGCTAACAAAGCATCATGGGAGCCGTACAACGCCCTCTCCACGACAACCCGACTTTTACCACCAAGCGTGGATGATGGGAACAACCATTACTATAAAACTTTAAACTAACTTTAAATTATATTAAGAATGAAAGTTTTTCATAATTAAGGGCGGGGCCACCTCCACCTCAAACCATTGTTTTAGCTCTGTAGCAAAAGGCTAGCTAGCTAGTTAATCTACAAAACATTAGCTAGATGTAACTAGTTAATGATTGCTGTAGATTAACTAGCTAGTTAGCTGCAGCTCCACCTCTTTGGCCCACGCTGAGCCTGCGGACATTTTTATTTATACAGTCGACAGGAAGAACACTTTCATACAAACATTAAAAAAACAACGTTTTATTTTGGTCAGAAGTAACAAAGTACAGATACTTCCCTACTGTCTGAACTTTACTCGAGAACTGTTTAAACCAATATCTGAACTTTCTACCACTTTCAAAGCGGCTCGTCACTTTAGTTTTAATGCATTTGAGGGGAATTATTGATTACTATTGTTATTATAGGAGAGTCATTTATACTCACTGAGTAAAGAGTACTTTACAGAGTATCAGTGTCTGAACTTGTACTTGAGTGTGTGAGTGTCTCTGGTTTTGCTCTCTGACAGCACACTGAGTGAAGCAGCTGAGTCGGAGGTGGGGAGGGACTCATCACTACTGTGTTACTATGGCAAAGGCTCATGGGAGCTGTAGTTGCTGTAGGAAACAAACATAATGAT